GGAGGACGGGGACATCTTCGACTTCGTGCTCCGCGAGGGTCCCCTGCCCGAGCCCCAGGCCCGGGCACTCTTCCAGCAGCTGGTCGAGGCCGTCAAGTACTGCCACAGCTGCGGGGTGGCCCACCGCGACCTCAAGTGCGAGAACGCCCTGCTGCAGGGCCGCACCTTGAAGCTGACGGATTTTGGCTTCGCCAAGCTGCTCCCCGGGGACGGCTGGGAGCTGAGCTGGACCTCCTGCGGCAGCACGGCCTACGCTGCGCCCGAGGTGCTGCGGGGCGCACCCCACGACTGCCGGAAGGGCGACGTCTGGAGCATGGGTGTCATCCTCTACGTCCTGCTCTGCGCCCGCCTGCCCTTCGACGACGCTGACATCCCCAGGATGCTGTACAACCAGCAGAAAGGCGTCCCCGTGCCTGAGAGCTGAGCTGGACCTCCTGCGGCAGCACGGCCTACGCTGCGCCCGAGGTGCTGCGGGGCGCACCCCACGACTGCCGGAAGGGCGACGTCTGGAGCATGGGTGTCATCCTCTACGTCCTGCTCTGCGCCCGCCTGCCCTTCGACGACGCTGACATCCCCAGGATGCTGTACAACCAGCAGAAAGGCGTCCCCGTGCCTGAGCACCTGGGGATCTCCACGGAGTGCCAGAACCTCCTGAAAATGCTCCTGGAACCAGACATGAGCCTGCGGCCCTCCATCGAGGCGGTCGGCTGGCACCCGTGGCTGACTAACCCCTGAGATGGGACAGATTGTTTCTAAAATGACAATAAATTTGGAGGTCAGTGTTTCCCACCCAGCTGGCCTCGCAGGTGGTGTGCCAGTCCTCTGGCCAGCAGAAACAAGGTCTGGTTCGCTCTTGGGCATGTTTATCAGCTCACTCCAAGCCCTCGGTGCTGGGGAGCAGAGCAACGCGAGCTCCCAGCAGCCCGGGTCCCCCTTCCCAAGGGGGCACTTCCCACCCGGCCGCAGGATGCACCGGCCCCGCAGCTCTGGCTGCGAGCGTCCCGGCTGGGAGATGTGCCGGGCTCTCCCAGCACCCACCCGAGCTCCGCAAACCCCCCCGGGGCAGGCAGGAGGAAAGGGGAGACGTCCAGCAAGTGACGAAGGCAGCCGCCCCCAGCCCGCGGCCAAAGCGAGCAGCCCAGCCGACACCGGCAGAGCCTCTGCAGAATTCCTTTAATTGCCGTTAGCCGCACGGCTGTAAAAGGTTTGGAGAAAGTCATCGTTACAAAACTACCAGCCGTTAGAATTGCTCCTGGTCCTCAGCCCAGCTAGAAAAGGCTCAGGGAGACGCGGAGTCGTTCAGAACAGAGGATATTGCACAGACAACCCAACGGTTAATTCGACTAAAGGAAAAACAAAAAGTAGTGACACAGAGGAAAGCGCTGTGCCCCGGAGCTCTGCCGCAGCCCCAGGGACCCCCCACGACTCGTACCACCCACCGCGAGCCCTGGCC